ACCCACAGACACACCCCACGACCGACCCCACAGCAATGCAAGAACCTGACACCCCCTGCAGCACAGGAGGGCAGGCACCACCCCAAACATCTCCACAGCTTCTCCTGGGCTCTGCAGCAGGGCTGGAGAACCTCCACAAGGATAAAGCCATGCACTAGGCACTCAGGTTTCCAGCCATCCCAGCACACCAGGACCCAGAGCATCCTTGCCAAGCCTGTAGCACCCACTTCTGCCATGCCAAGGGTCACCTGGTGCCACTACTCCCTCCTCATCAGATGTGCTGCCTGGCTCAGGATCACACTCACTATGGGCCAGGGTCAGCAGCTCCAGTGTTGGGGCTGTGCCCCACTGCCCTGCCCCTCATCAGGGGTCAGGCACACAGGGGGAACCTGGTTTCCACTATCCCACAAGGTGCAGGAAGATGCTGAGTCTTGTAGCAAGGTCTAACCACCTCACTTCTGCAGCCATGCCACTGTGAAGCTTCAAGCTGAAGCCTTTATTTCAGGCAGAGCTCCACAACAGGCAGCAGAGTTGCTCTGTGACCCAAAAAGCAGCAATCTCTCCAGGATTTGGCACGGCCAAGACCAGCAAAGCCAAAGGATCTTTCACTCCACAACTTCCCACATTAGTTCCAGCAAAAGTCTTGAATTCCTACAGTGCCAGATCCTCAAGCAGAGCTATGAGGAAGGACAACCAAGCCTGGACTACTCTTAGCTGCCTCCCAGACATCTCAAAGGGCATCCCTCCTACTTTGGTGAGGGCAAAGCAGAGACCTAGAAAGGGAACCATTGAGTTTGGCCCTTCCTAACTTCCACAGGCACCACCAAAAATCCATTAATTGTGAGGCTAAGGAGGGAAAGTGCTGCTCAGCAGCTCCTCAGGAAGACTCATTCTGAAGCTGGGTCTCATTTAATAGCCCAGCTGGCAGGAGAAAGAAATTACCCCATCACAGGGACTAGTTGAGCTGGGATGTCAATGCTCAGACTCACATCTAAGAAATTCAGATTTGAAAGAGTGAGACAGGAGAAGGAAGCTCCTTCAGAGGGTGTTCACAGGACACAAGGAGATAATGGGCAGATTCCCACATCCCTCCTCCTGTCAGAGCAGCTCCGTGCTCAACCCAAGAGCAAGAGGATGTCTGGGAACACACCAGTTCCCAGCACCCCTGTGTGCACGGTGACTCCAGGGTGTCTGCTCAGCCAACAATCTGTCACTGACAGAAAGCTGTATCTAACACTTAGGGGGCTTTAGGATGCATGAAAACAGCTCTGAGGCACCGTCCTGCCCCAGCCAGGCCAAGTGCAGGAGGATTAACAAGTGGTGACTGTAACTACTGCAGCTTCATGTTCCTCACAGTGAGGAGCAGCATCAGAGGAGACATTTGACTCCTGGACTCACGCTAACCTTATTTGTTTGCAGCTGCAGAGCTGGAATCCACACATGCACGAGGTATCTAGGTCCACTCAAGCAGAGATTACAGAAGTCAAGAGATGCCTGGCACCAGTCCATGAAGTGCTACAGACATCCAGCACATAACACAGCCCACTCACCAGCAGCATTCCCAGGCAGCTCCAGCAGCTAAGGAAAAGGGGATGTAGAATTTGCTACTGAGGAGGTTGTCTGCAAGCCAAGAGTCTCTGCCTCTCCAACACAGAGTTTTCTAACCCACAGCCTTTCATGGACCAACAGGGAAGATCACAGAATTACATAAGATTTAGTTGAGAAAGGATCCTTAAGACCATCCCATTCCACCCCCTGCATGGACAGGGACACCTTCCACTAGACTAGGTGGCTGCAAGTCCCATCCAGCCTGGCCTTGAACACCTCCAGGGATGGGACAGCCACAGCTGCTCTGGGCCGCCTGTGCCAGGGCCTCACCCCACCACATGGAATTATTTCTTCCTAGGATGACCCTCTCTGGCAGAGCTTAGCCAGCTCCTCACCTGGGCTCTCCCAGCACACCTCACATTTAACACTTCCCACCTTCAGCAGTCTGGGATCCCCAAGCTCCACCTCAAGAGCAGCAGCCATGGAGCTGCAAACAGGCCCTTGAGACCAGCCAGGAGGACACACAGCATCACCACAGACTTCAGCTGCCAGCTCCAGATCCCTCCTGCTCGTGGCACACCTACAACTTCCCAGTGACCTCCCAGGAGAGCAAGAACTAATTTCTAGAGTAGAACCAACATGTCTGCACCAGGCACGCCAGAGAGCAGGGTGAACACACCGGGTTTTATTGCCATGCAGCCATGGCCACAACACCCAGCGTCCACGGGCAGCATGAGAGCTCCTCCAGCTGCTGGAAAAAGCTCTGCGTGCCCCAGGGGTGGGAGTGCAGCACCCAGGCCTGTCCCACACTACCCTTCGGGGCTGCCAGGAGAGATGCAGCCACGCAGATCGGTGCCTGGGCTGCCTGGAAAATTAAACAGAAGATAGCAGCGAGTGGGGAGGGATCTCGTTTGGGGAGGTGTCTGGTGAGGAACAGCAGGGACTGACATTAGGCCCTGTTTGTTTAACATTCCCGTTAACGACCTCGAGAGGAGCGAGAGGCATTCCTGTCCTCCGCATGTCACCCGCCAGGAAGCGGCTGCTGCGAGATCCAGGGGCTCGCAGATAAGATAAAGGGAGAGGCTGAATTTGGGAGCTTGGCCCCGCTGTATCTGGGGCACACGGCGCCCTTCTGTGGGGAGGCAGGGAAGGAGGTGCGTGGTGGGGGGGACTGGGGGAGTGCCCACAGCGCTGGGATCTGGCAGGGTTATCCTTGCAGTGTGGGAAAATATTCCAGCACACCCTCCTGCATGTGCTGGGACTGAAGGATTCCACTTTGCACCGAACGTATTTATCGCTCTGTATCAAGGGGAGCTTCTGGGCAAGAATTTGGGCCCCCCAGACCATGCTGGGATCCTGGACACAAGGTCACTCCTTATGCCTCCACTAGGCTCTGCAGTGAGGAACAGCTCCTGGCCAGCCAGGAGGTCCTGGGAAAACAAGGATTCAGAGCAGGCTCAGGGTAGCCACCATGGAGCCCAAATCGTGCTCGCCACCCACGGTGTTATTTCTGTTGGATTCTGGTGGAGAAAGGACTTTCCAACAGCAATCCCACCAGGCACAGGGACATTAACCCCCACCAGTCCCAGCCTAACCCAGGTGGTGGGTATTTTGCTGCAGCCCTGGGTGCAGGGGGACAGACGCACCCAGCGAGGACACAGACCATCCAACAGGGCGGGCAGACCATGTTCCTCCCTGCAGCTCCTGGAGGCTGCACAGCGGAGAGCAGGAGCCCCTTCTGTCCAACCCCTGCATGCTCCCCAGGGGTGCCATCTCCAACTCAGCTTTCCAGCCATCAAGCTCCACTCCTGGGAGGACCAGCCTCTCCAGAGGGTGAGGATTTCCTGAAATGCTCCAGCACCCGCTTTGCCAAACAACCACCGGGCAGTGGGGAACACACTGGCTCTTGCCCAGCACCAGAAGCTCACCTGATCACCACCTGTAAGGCACCAGCCCAGCTGGAGCAACACCACTGGGATGGGATTCACCAAGTGGCACCAACCTCAGGGACCTTTGAACGCCAGTCAATAATTGGATTGAAGAGCGGCATAGAATCTTCCGAGCGCTCATGCACAGCCTGTGAAACCCTCAGGTACCAAACCTCCCTCCACCAGGAGCGGCATAGGGCCCCAGGTGTGGCACAGGGCCCCAGGTGTGGCACATGGGCCCAGGTGCTCAGCCCACCCACAGCAGCGGCACCCGGTGACACTGGGACACGCCACCCGCAGCATCCCCATCCCATTGCACCAGCGCATCATCAATGCCCTGCTCCACGCTGCGGACAGCACCGCTCCAGCCACCACCTGCCAATCCATTCCAGGCCATTGCTCGGGTCCCCCTGGCCGGGGCCGGGGCCCAGGGGACACGGTGGCCCCGTGTCAGCTGGCGTGCCGGCCGCGCTGCCCGGTGGGTGGTGGAGCAAGCCAGGCGCCATGTTGCGGCGGCGAGAGCGCACGGAGGACGGCGAGGGGAGGGGACTGAGCACCTCCCCGGTGCTGAGCGCCAGGCGCTGAGGACTGCAGCAAAACGTCTCCATGGCCAGGCATTTTCCAGAGCCCTCTCCAAGATGGAGGGCGGCTAGTAACCCACTGTGGCGATACCTCCTCCAGGGGTGCGGTGATGGCATCAGCCAATGGCTCCAACAGCCAAAGCGCAAATGTGGAGGGCTGCAAGATCTGGCGTGTGGCTACAGACAACTGACCCTCACTAGCCTTCCCAGCCCTGAATCCAGCATCGTCCAGGCTGTGGTTTGCAGTGGTATCTGGGGGAAGGGGCTGTCAGCAGGTCAGGTCAGTCCTGCAGCCCCAGCCAGGCTGCCAGCACACACAGAGCAGGGCAGGGGCTCCTCCACTATTGTCCAAGTGTCTCCCCTGCAGCCCACACGGGCAGAACGGTGCTGGATCCAGGAGCCCTCCAGCTAGAGGGACGTGGCAACAGGACACCATGCCCACGGGCACCGGCTGCGCTGGATGGAGCAGGGACCTGCCAGCCCTCTGCCCCACAGGGCTGCAGGGACACCGGGCTGAGCACGGGACTCGCCCTGCCCGGCCCCAGCCCCTCCTCGGGGCGGCCCGGGGACTCCAGCACCAGCTCGCCAACACCTCCGTACTCTGTTTCCCACAGCCTGCCCCCAGCTCCCCAGCCCGCAGCAGCCCCGGCGTCTGGGCTCCGGTTCCTCGACGACCCGGGGCTCCAGCCGTGACACCGGGTCCTCTATTCCCCAAAGAGGCGCTGCGCTCCTTCCCGGTTACCCGTCCGCGGTCCCCGATCCCGCCCTGCTCCATCCCCGATACCCCAGCCGCGGTTCCCCGACGGCGCTGCCCGCGCTCCGCCCGCCGTCCCCCGACACCCGGGCGTTCCATCCCCGCCGCCGCTCTGACCCAGCCCCAGCCCCGTTCCCGAGCCCCGGCCGCTCCGCTGTCCCGGCGCCGCTCGCCGCTCCCGGCTCCCACCTCCTCCTCGACGGTGCCGCCGCCGTTGGTGTGCTCGGTGTCCTTGTTGAGGTTGCTCATGGTGGGGTGCCGGGGCGGGGGTGTGCCGGCTGCTCCGGAGCTCCGAGGGCCGAGCCGGGTGCGGGTGCCGGTGCGGTGCTGGTGGCGGGGGCGGTGCGGGCGGCGCTGCCCTCCCGGCTCACATACGGCGGCCCGGGACGGCGCCGCTGTTAAGGGCCGGGCCGGGCGGAGCGGGGCCGAGCGGAGCGCAACGAGCCGCAGCTGCGGGGCCGACGCGCCCCAGCCCCAGCCCGAGCCGCCGCTCCCGGTGCCGCCACCGCGCACCGAGCAGCGGGGCCGGGACCCGCCCGCCTGCCCCGCCCGGGGCCGCCCCCGGCCGCCAACGCCGCCAATCCCGGCCCGGCCCGGCCCCCCGGGACCGCGGGGAGGGTTTTTTTTTGTTGTTGGGCTCGAGTTATTTTAATTATTTTTTTTCCCCTCCTTTCCACGAAAAACTTTGTCAACTTTGATGAACTTTCGGGTTTCGACTTTCTTAAAGGGCCCGCCGGGCTCTGAGCTCGCGGCGGGGCTGTGCCGGTCTCTCCGCGCATCCCCCGGACGGGGAGATACGGCTCAGCCCCGCCGGGGTCCGAGAGCCCCCGGACGGCACCTTTGTGACCCCCGGTGAGAGCCCCGAGCCCAAGAACGGCAGCCCTGGGAGCTCAGCACGGGATCCTGCAACTCCGGGACAGCGGCTCTGAGCCTCAGGAGAGCAGCCCCAAATCTGCCCCGACAACATCCCCGGTGCCCTGGGGACAACGGGGACAACAGGGCAACCCCACAACCATCCTCATGGACGTCCATGTGTGCAAAGCCCTGTTCTTGGGCCTGGGAGGAGGAGCAGAGTTGAGGCACAGAATCATGGAATCTGTGTGTGGTGTGGGTGGGAAGGGACCTTAAATTTCATCTCATTCAACCCCCCTGCCGTGGTTGCTCCAAGTCCCATCCAACCTGGCCTTGGACATTTCCAGGGATGGGGCAGCCACAGCTTCTCTGAGCCAGGGCCTCACCACCGTCATTATCCATCTTCTTTCCTCTCTCCCTGCCCACATGGGTGCCCAGTTGGCCACATCCTAAAGCACAGCCTGCGGTTGGATAACATGAGCAGAAAATGAAATACATAAACATTCCTCCATACTGCAGCCCCCAGCTTGGTCCTATGTGAGGTTTAAGTACAAAAACCCAAGAGCTTGGGTCACCCTGCTGAGTGAGAGATGTCCAGGGATCTGAGCCCTGTTGTCTTAACCAGCATTTCTTGTGCCCAGCCCCTGCTGCTCCCCCAGCACTGAGGCCAGGCGAAAGAGGGGAAACATCATCCCTGTCCTGCCCTGGGGGTCCCACAGCCCCCCTGCACTGCAAAAGCCAAAATGTCTTCCCTGTCCTCCACTGGCCTGGCTGGAGACACCTGTGCTGTCCCCATGGCACTGAATGTCACTTCAAAGCCAAACTGAGTCCACTCCTGGCTCTGAGTGACAGTGTCATTCCAGCAGCAGCTCAGGGATATGTGTTTTTGCTCATGTGAATGTTGTGAAGAGGTGTGAGCCTAGCTGGGGGTAACCACAGCTGAGTTCCCAGCACCCCTGGGTCCATTGCCCTGTTCGAGCCCCAGCCTCTGACTCCATTTGCCACCTGGCTGCAGAGAGGCACCCTGTGAAAATGTAACCCCAAACTGAGCCATCCCATGCACAGGCAAAGTCCAGCACAGCCCACAGCACTCTGAGTCTGGCTCCAGAAAGGCAATGCAGGAAACACCATCACCGAGGTGGTGCCACAGCCAAGAGCATGTGGGGCCAAGGAGTTCCACCACAGAAATTAGGAGGTGTATTGGAGGGGATGAAACATCCCCTGGGAGCATCAGCTTTGTGTCCCCCTCCTTTCTAGGTTCTGGCTTCCAGCAGCAGCAGCAGTTTGCATGCAGCACAGAGGATTTGGTTCGTGTACGGAGCCCTCACACAGTGGCAAAGTGATCACTTCTTTTTTCAAGGCTTTGCAATGAGCTGCTAAGCCAGAGAGCCTGATCCCTGCCAGGTTCTGCAGGAGGGGAGAAAACTCCCACTTTTTGACTAAAAATCCCCAATTTATTTATTTAAAATGCTGTCCTACAGAAGGGTTTTGGAGAGACTTCACATACCAGCTGTGAGCACCACAGCAAGAGCTCCCCCAAACCACCCATGGAGTTCAGCACAGATCCAGACCAGAGCAAGGACTTTCTCTGCTTCAGGGATGCTGCCCTTCACCATAACTTTGTCCCCTAGACTGGGGACAGTCCCATGAGGCTGTGCAGGAATAACTCCCAGGAAGAGTGTTGCCTACCATTGCTCAAAGACTCTGAGAGAGCCCACCCTGTCAAAAAGACCAGGAATATTTGCTTCCTGTGCTAATTGAGCAAAACCCAGTGTAACCTCACAGCACTTTCTCTGTGTGTAGGTTTGGGGTTTCACTTTCTACAGACTTTGATTGCAGAGCCTGAGGCAAGTGCAAGAAGGCACAAAAGGGTGGGAATCAGGAGCAGCAGTGGGTTTTCATCAGACCCCCAAGGACCTCAGTGCTGCACATACATAGAGAGGAGACATTCTGCCTCTTCCAGAGCAGAAAAACCCTGGCCACAAGCAGAAGAGTTCATATTCCATCATGCTGGGGCAATAACAGTGGGTCCACCATGTCGCTACCACACTGATGGCCACAGCCTCTGGTTTATTTTGTAGGCAAACCCATGGGCTGGAGATAAATATCCTCCTTGCACACTCAACCCCTCAGAGCTGTGTGTGGTGGCAGCATCCCTTCATCCCATTTTCTTGTGACTCACAGAACCTTTGATATCTTCACAAACATCACACCCAGGCAGCTTCTCCCCTCCCAAAGCACTGCAGCATGTGCTTCAACACATGGAGCCCTTGATGGGCCAACCAGCTGCACACAGAGGAGATGTTTTCCCCCCTCAGGAACTCAAAGGGATGGACAGAAGGTGGGACAAATGAAGCTGCCACTGCTACCAGCTTGTGCAGGTGAGCCAGTCCGCCAGAAAATGGTGATGGCCCTGCAGAGATTTTGGCTGAGGATTCCACTTCCACCTGGAGGTGCTCAGCTTTTTGTGATCCAAGGTCACACCAGCTGAACCAGAGCAGGAGCAGGAGACACTTGGGTTTGGACTTTGCTTATCCATGCCTTACAGCGATGTATTTTTACACCAACACCTTTCCTCCTAAAGTATCACTCAACAGCATCTGGCTCTGCAGTCTGGCCAAGGGCTTTGTCCTTTGATACCATCTCCACTAAAATGTGATGGTTACAAGAGCAGATGTGATGCTGTGACCCATTCAGCATCCACTTACCCCTCCCACATCAATTCCCCATCAGGATGGACACGTGGACAGTGAACACTGTGATAAATGTCCCACACAAGCAGCTCCAACCAGGCTGTCCTGCCTGCAGACAATGAGAATGGCAGAGCCTCACCAGGGAAAAGGAGTAAAAGCTGTGAGGTGCACACAACCAACAAGGTTGGTCTAGCAGGCCTAGAAAGGGGGTTAACAAAGTACTTGAGACAGAAACAGATTGAAATCAGCTGAGAAATCAAGGTGAGACTTGAAATGACAGCCAGTTGTGGACACTCTTGTGCTTTCACAGTTTCTCAGCTTTGCATTGTCCAAGGGCTCTTTCTCACTCCTAAACAAGCAGGTGGCCAGCTCAGGTGATAACGAGGGGTGTCTCTCTCCAGCTGGGCTCCTGCATCCTGCCCACCCATTCTGTGACCCCAGACCCCCTTGACCCACCTGTGCAAAGGCAATGGATTTAATTTTGGACATCATGGTGGTTGTCACGGGGGCACTTTAGGCCCCTGTTCCTGCCGAGCCCACCACAGGCAGTGCCACACTCTGGCTGAGCTGCTGGATTGTTTTTGCTGTTCCTCACTGCTTATCTGGGACAACAACTGAGCCCTGGCACTTGTCCCAGGGCAGAGAGGATGCTCCCATGCCACTTCCAACATTTCTGAGGTACGGAGAAGGGAGGATTTCCTCTGCTTGCCACTGGCACCGATTTCTCCTCTTCCTGTCCTTGTCCAGGAGATCCCACATCTCCTCAGACTGCTCTGCTGCTTTCCTCCATCCTCTGCCCATTCCAGCTGCTGTATCCTCATGCTTTTAATCTTTCTGGGTAATTATTCCAGACTGGGATGGAATAATATGCCATGCTGGTTGGAAAGAGGCCACCAGCCGTGGGACAGGGAGGAACACTGATTTCCAAGCAAGCAGAGAGACCAGACAACACCCAGACCAGTGATGATCACATGCAGGCTGAGTGCTGGTGCCACCAAAGACTCTTTACAGTGCCTCAGATGAGTTCTCAGAGAACTTTCTGGGCACAGGCAGGCAAAGGCTTTGGGGCTGCTTCTGGTACCAGCATGCAAACATCTGGAGACTTGTTATAGCAAAGGTGGGAAGGGACCTCAGAACTCACCCATCCAACATCCTGCAGGACTCTCACTAGCACTGGGTCTGGTTGGTCCTGCCTTGAAAACCCCTAAGGATGGACTGACCCCACCTCTCCAGGTGTCTACCACAAAGCTGCACCATCCAGCAGGGAACAAGTCTTCCCTAGCACCTATCCTGACTCTCTCAAGCCTCCAAGTGTGGCTGCTGCCCCATGTTACATCATCTGCTGCCCCTATCAAGGAAAGTGTAACTCCACCATCTTTGCACTTCCCCTCCAGGGAGCTGTAAGCTGCAAACAGACCCCTGTTCAAGCTCTTTTGGCCAGGCTAACCCAGCCCAGTTCCTTGCTGATGCCTCACCAGCACCTTCTGTGCTTTCCCCCCTCCCAGTCTGCATCTCTGTGTGATACAGAGCCTCCCCAGCCTGGAGCCTCTTTTGGTCTGTCTGTCTCCAACCAGCAGGGATGGCACTTGGTCAAGGCCAAGCTGAAGGAGCTCCCAACCCCTTCCATGGATTTGTTCCTTCCATTGGACCATGAGGCTACAACAGCCCTAAGCCCCACAAAGGGCAGAGGATAAAAGGCGTGGC